CATTTTGCTATAGAACCCATATCTTCTGTGTTCCCTTCCTGAGGACAGGTATCAAGCAGAGCCATGATGTAAGAACTAATTGTTCTTAATTTGGAGCTAGGATTTAATGCAAGACCCAAACTCATTTCTGCATCTGTTTGTTATTGTTTGTTTTTTATCTGCCTTTGGCTCCCTTTTAAAACTTCCTTGTTAATTTATGGTAGAGAGTCTTATCAATCATCTCCCTGAGGCATCATGAGCTTACTTTAATATTGTCTTTGATTAGCCACTGGTATTAAATTTTTAAAGCCCTCATTCCATTATTTGATTGAGATTTTCGAAACCCCTTTGTATGAATAGGGCTACTTTCAGCGACAGTATTTTGTTCACACAACTGGTGTGTCATATTTTTTTCCTACTGTGATGACTTGCATGTAGCTATAATGCTAGAAGCTATGCCTCTTGTATTTCAAATACCAGCAGTCGCCCAAGGGGAATGAGTTTCAAAAGACCTTCCAGACTAAGACCAGAAAGAAGGAATAAGTGTACCACTTCTAAAAAATTAGTCCCTAAATACCGTAGCTGCATGTGATGAAGTGAAATTACATGGGATAGATTTTCTATCTATAGTATTTCTAATTCCCATCAAATGACCAGGTGGGAGAATGCAAATAAGATGTAGAGAACTCTAACATGGGTATTAGTCAATTTTGCCATTCCACTAGATATAAACTAAGCCATCTCAGAAACAGGAGCAGAGAATACCATGACTACCAACACAGAAGAATTAGCCGTGAAATGCATCTGTGAACCCTGGGTGCAGAGGAGGCAGAGGAACATTGCCAAATTAGGAAATAGACTGATGTACCTCCCAGCCTATAGAATGGGTAAAGCCAAATATCAGGGAGGACTGAAAATATTAATACTCTAAGAAATCCCAACAACCCAACACAAAGACAAGAGAAATTATGGTACCTCCAAATGAACAAGGTGAAAGGGAGTGAAATTAAATCTATTAAAGCCCAAGTAATGAACATATTGAAGACTATTGCACCATAGTGTTAAACATAATCAAAGAACTAAGGGGGAAATATAGACAAATATCTAAAATAAATAAGAAAAACTGTGTATGAATGAAATCAGGTTTTTTAAAAAAAATAGGTATTCTAAAAATAAAACAGAAATGTTACGACTGATGAGAAAAACAATGGGAGGAATTAACAACAGATTTGATCAACCAAAGGAATTATTAGAGGATGATCTTATCCTCAAATTAAAGGATACAATAGTTAAAGTTTTGAAGGCTGAATAGTAACAAGACTGGAGGCTCAAGACTGATGACACAGTTTAGTGGAATTCCAGGATAATATCAAGAATTTACACATCATAGAAATTCCAGAAGGAGATCAGATAGAGAAAGAGACAAAGAATATTTGAAAAAATAATGACAGAAAACTTCCTGAATCTAATGAAGGACTTGAACTACAAATCCAAGAAACTTAAAGAATTCCAAGTAGGATAAACCCAAAGAGAGCTACACCGAGACACAGTATAATCAGAATCTCAAAAAGTCAAGATAAAGAGCTCTACAAGCAGTGAGAAGCAAATGGTCACATATAAAGAATTCCAAATAAGACTAAATGCTGTGTGTTTTCAGAAACACTAGAAGTCATAAAGCAATGAAATGGTATATTTAAAATGCTGGAGGAAACAACCAAAACAAAATTGTAAACCAAGAACATGTACTATGCCCTCCAAAACTGCCCTTTTTGAAGGATTACATCTTTGAGGTCCCTCGGTCACTGTAATATTCTGCCTTGAATTTAACTAGCCCAACAGATCCCACTGTTTTAATTGGACCCCTTTTGGGAGGAAGATACCCTAATGATACTAAGGCAAGTATTTTACAGAGACAACTTGTCTGCAGTCATCCACTGATCACAGAGACATGCTTTATTTGGAATAAACTGGTGTGTGTGTGAACTGGAACCCCAGCAGCAAAACATACCCTGATATATTAGTTTAGTGTCCTCTTCTATTTTTACAATGTCTGTCCTTCTGGACTTGTATGGACACCATAGACTTTGTTCTATGGTGCATAGCTAGTGTTTTCAAATAGATCTTGTTTCCATTTAAAAAGAGGGAGACAGAGGAGAAGAAGAGGAGAAATTACAAAACAAAGCAATAGCAATAAGCAAAAACACCTCTCTCAACTTTTGTCTGTTGTTGGATGTCAGCCCCAAGTGAAAGCATTAGGAAGTTTTAAAATATTTGGTGTACATGCATTTTGTCCTACATGTGCAAGATGTTTTTGAAAAGGCCTAAATTCTGCAAGAAACTTTCACTTCTCTAGGCCTTTAGAAGTCAATTGTATGTTTCAATCAAACTAATTAGCCCCAAGTGATTAAGGCCAGGCATGATCTGCAGGCATTGTCAGCAACTCAGCAAAAGCTTAAACTGGCTAGACAGGAATATACATCTTTTGTCTTTCAAGCATTCCCCCAGATAAATCATATGCATGTGCTAGTCTGCCAGAAAAAGCAAAGTATATTTTCCCCTGTTCAGAGTCAATGAATGTCCCCTTACATGTCAACATACGATTCCCATTCTGCCACCTTTGCCACAGTGGCCACCACTACAGCTGCCAGTACTGACAGTTACCAATGCCAAACCCATGGTTATTGAGTTGATTCTGACACACAGAGACCCTATAGACAGAGGAGAACTGCTTCTTTCTGCATTTCTTAAACTATAAATCTACATTAGAGTAGTCAACCTCATCTTTCACTTTAGGAGCAGCCGACAAATTCAAACTGCTGACCTTTCTGTTAGCAGCCCAGCACTTAATCCACTGCCCACCTAAGGGTCCTTAATGAATACTTTTCCTACCATTTAAAAGTTGACTCTTCTTGATTTAACATTTGCCTAGCTGTTAAAACTCTCTTATAACTTTTTAGTGTTCATAAAAAGCCTTTTCTACAGATGTTTACATTGTTTTAGTTGATGATAGAAATGCACACACCACAATCTTCCGCGATGTCTTTTTCGTTGTTTTAACGTAGTGCATCTTAAGTGTACTGTGGTCAAGGATTTCTTTTTCTATATTTGATGCAAGTTCTTTGTGATATATGTATATTTCTAATATTTTACTTTGACCAAAGGTGGGGGTTGTTAACAAGTTCATGAAAAAAATGAAATTAAAATGTCATGGAAGCCCCCTTGTATGTGGCCTGCTTATTTCATTTTCTATCTTAGTTCTTAAGTGCGTCATAACTCATAGTTCATCAATTTCTACTTCTTATTGTTTCTATGGAGTCTCTGGGTGGTACAGACTGTTCATTCATGTGGCTGATAATGAAAATGTAGATTTGAGTTGCCTCAGAAGAACCTTGAAAGAATACTCTGATGATCTACTTCCAAAAAATCAGCCACTCAAAACACCGTGGAGCACAATTATACTTTGGAAATAATTTCAAACTTATGGAAAAGTTGAAGAATAAGGTTTGAAGTTAAACTAGCAGCCATCCAACAGTGAAGCAACAAGACCACATGGAAAAAGTGGACCAGCTGGTGCTATTATGAGGTGTCATCAGGCCCAGGTAACAAGCATCAGAAGATTGATAACAAACAAACAAGCAAACAAGAAGTTGGTGAGAATGAGGAGGGTTCAGAGTGGAGACCCAAAGTCCATCTGTAGACAATGGAACATCCCTCCACAGAGCGGTCGCAGGGAAGGGATGAGTCAATCAGGGTACAGTAGAGCACCAATGGATCACACAATATATCTCTGATTCCTTAAGGGTTCCCCACCCCCTACTATCATAACCCCAGTGCTGCTTCCTACTCTGGACTGGACTGGGACATGTACATAGGTATAGGCAAGAGATAAAGCTCATGATACATGGAACCCAGGAATAGGAATGGGAATAGCAATACTAAAAGGGAAGGTAGAGGGGGGGGCAGGGGTTGGGGATGAAGGGGGTATTGATCACAATGAATGGTACATAACCACACACACCCCTCCAGGGGGAAGAACAACAGAAACCAGAGGGGAAGGAAGACAGCGGTCAGTGTGAGATATGAAAATAATAACAATCTTTAATCTTTCAAGAAGCCATGAGGGTGGAGGAGGAGAGGGAGGGTAAAAAGAGGAGCGGTTCCCAAGGGCCCAATAGAAAGTAAATGTCTAGAAAATAACAATAATAACAATGGCAGTATATGTACAAATATGTCTGATACAATTGATGTATGGATTGTAACAAAAGTTGTAAGAGCCCTCAATAAAATGATCTTAAAGAAAAGTCTAGTCATAATAAGAGCAGAATACTCATATACCCTTTAATCAGATTTACCCACTGTTAACTTTTCACCACTTTTGCTTTATCATTTGTCTTTTCCCTCTTCTTCCTTTCTATTCTTCCTTCTCTTTTTTCTCTACATTTACACATGAACATGCACGTTTTTCTCAGTCATTTTTATATATCTTGAATAATATGATGACCTCTTTACCTCTAATATTTAAGGTGTATTTCTGTAGAAGATAATTTGAGTCTCTGAATAATACGATTCCTTCAAACAGAAGTTTATTTTATTTTGTCCGGCTTTTCGGTCTGTATTCAATCATAGGGATTATCTAATACAACTGTTTCTGCCATTGCCAGAAATAGATCCTCTGATGCACGTCTTTTTATGTTTGGTAGCAAAGATTTGACCCTAGTGTGTTAGGGCCAGTATCCCTTCATTACTCTTCTTGAATCAGAATTTTTGTGCTATTCCTACTTATTTTTTTTTCTACAAATACCATTTTTTTCTACAAATTCAGTTAACAATTCAATTTTTCTAGTTTCCAAATAATTCCTTTTGATATTTCTATTATTAAATTGTGCATAAATCCAGGAATGGTTGACATCATTATTAAATATTCCCATGTAAAAACAAGGTCTGTTTTCATATTTCTCCAAGATTTATTTTAAGGCTTTCATTATCCTTTTCCTTTCTTTCCCATTTTTCTCTGCTCACAGCAAGATGGATTCTGGATATATTCTGAGTACTGTAATAACCACCTAGACGCCTGCATGGAGCTCTCCAAGCTGATGAAGGACAGCCGTTATCAGCACTTCTTTGAGGCCTGTCGCCTCTTGCAGCAGATGATTGACATTGCCATTGATGGCTTCTTATTGACTCCAGTGCAGAAGATCTGCAAGTATCCTTTACAGCTGGCTGAGCTTCTCAAGTACACCGCCCAGGACCACAGGTAAGGGATTGAGTAGGGGGAAAGGAGAAAATGAACCTCTTCTACATGTTGGTCCTTATTGATAACATATCTTTTAACCTTTCTGAACTTCTTTTGACTTATCTGCACAATGGTATGATGACACACGCTTGTGAGTGTTTCTGTTAAATCAATATGCATCATCATTATTTTATGACTTAACATCTGTCTTCAAGGAGTATATAGCCCAGTTCTTCGTTCTGAGCTCAGCTAAGTTAATCATCCCAGATGAAACAAATATTCAATCGTATATTCTAATCTACTTAACAGATTCAAATACCTTGGTACTAACCTATTCAAGTTTTAGTGACCCGTGAGGCTATACCCCTGGTTTTTGCTCATCTGTTTCATCTTTCTCTGTCACACCCTGTATGTGTCTTGCCCTTAGACCCAGAGCTTAGATGAGAGAAAATATGCTGCATAATGCCCCTGATGATAGATGTTTTAAGAAAACCAATCCAAAAAGGCCCAAGGCGTGTTTCTTTCACTGAATTGAATTGATACCCCTCATCTCCTACCAGTAAGGGACCATCCTCTCCCCTAACGTGCCTTACTTAACTCATGCTTTAAAGCCCCAGACCTCTGCCTCTAATTTAGCAAACCCCTGACTGTAGTATGATTGTTGGCCTAGCTTTCAGCTCTCTTCAGAGTAATCATTCCACCAAGAAAATAAGCATTAGTCTAATTGCACTAGACATCAGCCCAATCCTTATAAGTCACTATATACTTCTATTTGTATTCATTGCCTGCTATCCTTGGGAAGGACAAGTGGAGCAGGAGCAGGATCAGTACCCTGCTCAGGAAGGTTATCTGAGGCCGTTTGTTAGCTAGAAATTAGTGAGATAAACATTAGACTTGATTAAATCTCACTTGAACAAACTTAATAAACTAATTACTAGAACTGAGCCTGTAATATTTGGGGAATATGTTTTTTTCTGTAAGGGAAAATTTCACTGTTATAGAGTCAAGTCTGACTCACGTTGGCCATAAGACAGAGTAGAACTGACAATGTGGGTTTCTGAGACTAAATCTGTCACAGTAGAAAGTTTCATCTTTCTCCCAAGGATAGGCTGTTGGTTTCAGACTGCTAACCTTGGATTACCAAGGTTACACCACCAAGGCCCTTTACACCAACAGCACATTAAAAAACCTCCACAAAAGTTAAAGCATTTGGAAACTTAAAAATGAGGACCTAATGCCGGGGGCTTAAGTGGAGAGGAAATGGTTTGAGAATGATGAGGGCAATGAATGTACAAATGTGCTTCACACAATTGATGTATGTATGGATTGTGATAAGAGTTGTATGAGCCCCTGATAAAACGATTAAAAAAAAGTACAACCTGCTCTGTAAACCTTCACCTAACTCATAATAAAAAGTTTTTTTTTTTAAAGTATCAACTATTTGTGGAAACCTGGAATGGAAAATCACTGAAAAGAAGATATTATAGTCCAATTTCCATATATAGAAAAGGCATAGGCCCAGATGCAGAGCAAGTTTGTGGCAAAGCAGGGATATGAAACACAGACAATCATCTGGCTGAAAATATAGTTTTTAAAGAATCACAATCCAGATGATTTTTATGCCAGGGAAGTTTTGGAGCCATTATACTAGTTATTCCAGATCAATCTTTTCTAGTTCTGCTAACCTGTAATAACATGAGCCTAAAAACCGTCTGTGATTATACTGTGTGGTGCTAATTGACCAGAAGCATTCACTATTTTACCTAAATCTCAGTTGAGTAGATTTTACACCAATGGTGTTTAAAGCATGTATATTCAAAGAGTAAATTTTAAATGTTTTAACATTATAGCTCCTTACCCCTCTGCTTCATTAATATTCACTGTATATAATCTAGCAAAAGACACTAAAAAGTAGAGTTCTGTACTTCACTGGGTAAATGACATAACTGGTTTGAAGAGCCATAGAAAGACCACTTTCAAAAGCCTTGCCCAAAGCCACATAAGTTTCTTTGTCCAAGGCAACCTGTTTAGATTTGGTGGGAGCAGGCAAGATGGGAAGCCTGCGTGTAATTTGGCATTTCTGTGTTTCTTTACTTTCTGACTAGAACCCTTGGTTTAAGGCCATTTTGTTTTCTGGGTTCTTTGTCCTTTATCTTTGCTTGGATTCCAGAGTACTAAGATAGTGAATCAGGCATTGGCAGGGTATTGCCATATATTCTGTTAGAGTCACCTATTGGATTCAGTACTTCCCCAGGCTGTAGACTATTCCTTTGGGCATGATGACAGTTGCTGCTGTGCACATAAGGAATTTTTTGGGCTTAGAAGGCAATTAAAGGCTGTGTGCAAGTTCAGAGGTTTTTAAGATAGATGTTCAATATATAGATCTGAGATGCCAGTAATTAGAGTGACTGAGGAAAAATAAAAGAGTGACGGAGAGAGAAGGGTAGATAGAAAATTATAAATGGATAATAATATTGCATTTGCTTACCAGAAGGGTAGCATGCCCTTCATTAAGCCTTAAAAAAGAAAGACTGTGTATAAGAGAGAAGTTAACGGACATATTTGGAACTTGAAAATCTTGGTACTGTCACTCTCTTCATCAGAAGGCTGGACACACCAGGCTACTGACCCCCAGGGATTCTGACCAGTATCCTAGCTAGACCAGTTTTCCTCCTCTTCTATCACCCACACCTAAAGCTAGTACAATAAGTTGTAGGTGGGGACAATTCCCTGTTAGCCATTGTGGGAAAGAAAAGATGCATTCCTATAAAGTTGATTGTAACTCATGGTAACCCCGTGTGTTACAGAGTAGAATTATATTCTATAGGGTTCTCTAGACTGTGACCTTTCAGAATCAAATTGCCTGGGATTTCTTCTAAGGTGCCTCTGGATGGGTTCAAACTACAACTTTTCTGTTAGTAGTTGGACTTAACTTGGTAAATCCACTTAGGGGTAATGCCTTGGATCAGGCAAAGGTAATGTACATTCTCATGCCAATGCTCTTTAATAGAACATTCTGTAATTATGTAAATATTACATTTCTATTTTGTATAATAGAGTAGTCAATAACCACATGTAGCAGTGGAGTGCTGTGAAATGTAACTAATTTTAATCATATTTAAATAAACTATCTGCCAAGGAGCCGTGGTGGTATGATGAGTTAGTTGGGCATTTGATTTTTAATCACAACATAGATGGTTCAAACTCATCAGCTGTTACACAGGAGAAAGATGTAGCGATCTACTCCTGTAAAAATTTACAGTCTCAGAAAGTATCATGGGGCATTTTTTTCTAACGCCTTCAAATAAGAGAGTAAGGCACAGGGGACAGAAAATGAACGTAATAGAAAAGGACTACTCATTATATCAGAAACTTCTACTTCTATATTGCTACCATCTCTTCTGTAATCAACCCACCCTACTACCCAATCCATCATGATAAGGATGAAGAGCCAGGAAGAGCTTTCAAAATGCTACTGCACCCAAAAGGTTAGAACTAAGGATTTTTTTCAAAACTGAAATATAGCCGGAACAAATTTGAAATTTTGCTACTGTGTCTGAAAAGTCAAGAGCTCAAGAAAATGTTGAAAGATACAACTTCTAGGCAGCATGTTTCAAATAAAATTGAGAATTTCTGATTGACTACAAGTTCAATATGAGTCAGAAGTAGGATCCAGAATAAAAACCAATAGTAACTAATATTTGTTAGGGACAAAATAAAGAGTTTTCTAGCAGAGGTCTCTACTCCGATAGTTACCAATCTCTCACTGGAGTTCATAAAATACAGTAGTATTTAAGGATAGAAAAAGATAGTCACCATATATCTTCTTGGTACTTCTCTTTTTTAATTGATGCTGGCTGAGTAAGGCATTTTCAGTTGTTTTAAAGAAAGGTGTTAAGACTGAATTGTCTGTCATCTTCCCTGCTTCTTGGTTCATTATAGCTCCACTTAATGCCTATGATATAACTTTTAGTCTCCCATTCACAAATGCCATTCCATTGGAAATTAGATCAGACAAGCAAAGTATACTTGGACGGGTGGAAAAACTATGTTAGACAGGGTTCTCTAGAGAAACAAAACAGGACACTAATGATTTTATATATATTTTTATAGATAGTAACATAAGAAATAAATAATTAATTGATCTATAAAGCAGTACAAATGGCTCAGTGCAACTCACTTCCATGAGACAGCTAATACACTGGAAGCCCTTCAAGTCTTGATACAGTGACACAGTCCCACAGGTAGTGTAGCTTGCAAATTGAGGCAGAGAACAAGCTAAGTCATCTGCACACTGGTCTGATCATCAAAGAGCAAGAGACAAGAAAGGTGAGGCTCTCTGAGCCATTTATCTCTCCGTCCTTCAATTAATCCCACATGTGTTCATTGGCCAGTTTGGCACAATAAACCTACCTATCACAATAACTTTGACCATGTATGCTATCCAGTGTACCAATAAACTCAGCCGAGGTTTGCACTTCTGGGGCTAGGAATATTAAGAGTTGGCGACAACCCTTGGGATATTGATACAAGAGAAATATTTGATTTGTAATAATAATGCTGTCTATTCTGTCTTCTCTCAACCCCAGAGGACTATTTAGAACTGTTCTCTGGGTTTCCAAAGCTGTAAATCTTTATGTAAAGATACTTACACACCTTTTTACAATAGAGGGACTAGTGAGTTTAAACCACAGTATTTTTGGTTAGCAGCAAGGTGCTTAACCACTGCACCACCAGGGCTTCTTTTTTTAATCATTTTATTGGGGGCACATACAACTCTTATCACCATCCATACATATGTCAATTGTGTAAAGCAAACTTGAAAAGTCGTTGGCCTCATCATTCTCAAAACATTTGCTTTCCTCTTGGGTTCTTGGAATCAGCTCATCATTTTTCATTTTTTCCCTCCCTCCCCATTCCTCCCTCCCTCATGGACTCTTGATGATTTATAAATTATTATTATTTTATCATATCTTAACACTTCCCAATGTCTACCTTCACCCACTTTTCTTTTGTCCATCCCCCAGGGAAGAGGTTATATGCAGATCCTTGTAATCAGCTCCCCCTTTCTACCCCACCTTCCCTCCACCCTCCCTGTATCACCACTATCACCAGTGGGACTGAGGGGTTCATCTGTCCTGGATTCCCTGTGTTTCCAGTTCCCATCTGCACCACTGTGCATCTGCTGATCTAACCAGGTTTGTAAGGTAGAATTATGATCATGATAGTAGTGGGGGAGGAAGCATTTAAGAACTAGAGGAAAGTTGTGTGTTTCATCGATGCTACACTGTACCCTGAGTGACTCGTCTCCTCCCCACTACCCCTCTACAAGGGATGTCCAGTAGTTTACAGATGGGCATTGAGTCCCCATCTCGCACTCCCCTCATTCATGATATGATTTTTTGTTCTTTGGTGCTTGATACCTGGTCCCTTTGACCCCTCATGATCACACAGGCTGGTGTGCTTCTTCCATGTGGGGTTTGTTGCTTCTGTGCCACCAGGGTTTCTTTACAAGAATTATTATTAGAATGAAACACAACAGAATGAAACACTGCCTAGTCCTGTACCATCACAATTGTTATTATGTTTGATCCCATTGCTGCAGCCACAGTATCAGTACATCTCACTGAAGATCTTCTTCTTTTCGACTTTCCTTCTACATTAGTAAGCATGATTTTGTACTCCAGGAATTGACCCCTCCTGGTAACATGTCCAAATTATGTAACGTGAAGTCTCACCATTGTCAATTCTAAGGAGCATTCTGCCTGTATTTCTTCTAAGACACATTGTTCATTCTTTGGGCCAAAAACAAAAAAGAAAGGAAGGAAGGAAGGAAGGAAGAGAAAACATCAGTGCCATCAAATTGATAATATTTGATATTCTTTGCCAACATCATAATTCAAATGCATCAATTCTTCTATGCCCTTCTGCATTCATAAGAAGCAATTAAAAATATCGTAGCTCAGATCAAGGGCACCATTGTCTTTAAAGTGATGTCTCTACACTCTAAAATTTTAAAGAGCAGATGCACCCAGTGTACTATATTGTTTTATTTCGTGGCTGCTGCTTCCATGGGAGTTGATTGTGGATCCAAATACAATGAAATCCTAGACAACTTCAATCGTTTTTCCCATTTATCATGATAATTTAATTTATTAAATCCTCAATAAATCCTACTATGTTTTTCCTATTTTAAAGTTGAGGAAACTAAGTCACTAAAAGATTGAGTGCCATTTTCCAAAGGCCACAAACCTAGGCAGTGGAAAAACTGGGTTTGAACCCAGCAAGTCTGGCTCCAGATTGTAATATATCTATTATAGATATTCTAAAATTGAAGTTTTGATGACTAAACAACTCCTTCCAAAATGATTGAACTATTAAAATGTATGATATGTGAATTATTTGTTAAAATAATTTAAACTGTTAAAATAAAATAAACTGTTAAAAATAAAATAAGTCTGTGGGTGGATTGCCTGTGTGGTAACTCCATGGTCAATCATCAGGAATTTAGGCTCCTCTCAACTATCTGATGCCTCACTCCCAGTTTATTATTCAAGATTATTCTTAGAGCTTTAGCCATAAAATCCACATAAAGTATTAATGACCAAATAAGAGCGTTATCTCTTCTTTAAAAAATATTTCTCAGAAGTCCAACCAACAATTCTCTTAATATATCATGGGACAAAATTTAGTCACCCCTTCCTGAAATGTAATCTTATACTTCAGATGCCTTTGTTTCCATCTGAAAATCAGGGTTCATTACTAAAGAGGAGGATGGATATTAAGGTTGGGCCTGGAAGTCTCTGGCATTTTGGTTCATCCAGCTTATACCCTTGTGTCTTTACAGTGACTACAGGTATGTGGCAGCTGCTCTGGCTGTCATGAGAAACGTGACTCAGCAGATCAACGAGCGCAAAAGGCGTTTGGAGAATATCGACAAGATTGCACAGTGGCAAGCCTCCGTCCTTGACTGGGAGGTAGGACCCTCTCCAACAACAGATATGAGGAGTCTAGATAGTTTGGCCAGGACTTTTCCACCTTAGCTAAGGATGGGTGAAGGTGAATTAGATTTGAAGAGCAGAAGAAAGGATTTAGATTAGAACTACAGCACAACTTTCTGCTAATAAGAAGTGTTGGGTGTTTGAATGACTTCTTAAGAAGTTTGAAGAAATTTTTGTGCATTAAAAAAGGAAACGTTATTCTCTTAGGGTATTTCCAGGAATCAACTGAGTTGACTTAGTAGGCTTTCAAAGCTCCTTCAAGTCCCAGGATTTTTTGACCACCAGATAAAAACCTCAATGAATCCAAATAAAAAAGCCCACTGTCATTGCATTGAGTCTGACCCATAGGCCTCTAGGAATTCCAAGGCTATAAATCTTCACTGGAGCACATAGCCTCATCTTCCTCCCACAGAGTGGCTAATTAATTTGAACCACTAATATTGCAATTAGCAATTCAACATTTTCCCAACCATACCACCAGGCATCCTTGGAAGAATAGTGCATATTAATTCACTCCCAGGTACAATGTAAGAGATTGGTTCTTCGATATCTATAACAATGCAGGCCAGCCAACATACTTCTTTTCATATTGGAGGCATCACCTCATCCTATCACATTTTATTTTTACCCAAATTTGCACAATCAAAGCCATGATCACCATCCTTCCCAGGCCACAAACCAAAATTCTGTTATTCATTATCTGTTTGAAATAATAACCCCTGAAAGATTCCTTTCAATTACATAGCAAGCCATGGTTTCTCTGAACTTGAAAACATTTCAGTGGCTGAAGTCATTAAAGCATTCCCTTCCCAGAAACTCACCTGTAAAGGATATAAATAACCTAACAGGAAAATAAAAATTTACCTGTGCAATACTACTCTGTTGTTTAATTTCCTGGGATTGCCTGTCAGAAAACAGAGAGCTATGAATTACTAGGCCTATGTATTGTGTAGGATACCTACTCTTTGTCAACCAAGAGAATCAGGAGTAATGGCATTTCATGTTTATCTCTTGGGCCCACGTTGTGCAATCTAACAGTCCACAGGCTAACAGGAGAGGCTGGGCATGCTACCAGGGAAGGAGCAGCTGTCTTAAGCCACATAGTCACAGTGAGAAGATAGTACCCCATTCCACTGGGCTCATTCCAGATATCATTTTTTAGGAATTTAGAGGTAATGTCTTTGTAACATTTCAATAAATTATCCTATTTCAAGAGTACTTGGCCTTATAGACAGTATCTATTCACCTAAGGTAAGCTACATAATGTGGGTCTAAAAAATTCATCTTTTCTTTATTTTACTACCTCTGTTCCTCTTTAATGTAGAAAGCTGGAAAGACCACAATCCTTATTGATATGTTGAGTCTTATTTACAGGGTAATGTCCTATCTAGACTAGAACAATAATGAATCTTTGCGATGCATAGAAAGCAATATATAATGATACCTGCTTGCTCATAAAACACTGGTCCAGGCTTATTGTGAGGTTATGGACTCTCATCCCCTTGTGTTTGCTTTGCTTTAGACAGTTACTTAATCATAGTAAGAGGGCTGGGCCAAATGACCTCCAGCAAGTCCATCAACTCTAAAGCATAGATGTATGACAGGTTAGAATAGCGGTTCTCAAACCCTTTGGGAGTCAAATGACCCTTTCACAGGGGTCTCCTAAGACCATCGGAAAACATAAATATTTCATAATATATAATTACATATTATATCTTGTTTTGTGATTAATAGCTATGCTTTAATTGTGTTTCATTATGTTCAATTTGTAACAATGAAAATATATCCTGCATATCAGATATTTATATTATGATTCATAACAGTAGCAAAATTACAATTGCGAAGTAGCAACGAAAATACTTTTATGGTTGAGGAATCACCACAACATGAGGAACTGTATTAAAGGGTTGTGGCTTTAGGAAAGTTGAGAACCACTGGGTTAGAAGGATTTTTTTTTACATTGTAAAAGTTTTTATTTTATAAATTTTATTTAATGTTAATAAATTGTATTTAAGGAATTTTACATGTCTTTCATTTGTCATCCATTGGCTACTATTTAGTTCCTCTAAATCTTGTAAAAGTTCATCTTTAAGATAGCTCTGGTAAGAAAGAAATTAACCCTTGGTTAAACTTTGACCCAGGTTTTTATAAAATCATGAATGTAATCTTGTATCTACAAAGGAGAAAACATAGCACTATTGAGTAACTATGGCATTCCATGGAGATAGAAGGATATTTTTTCTCCTTCCCCCAACCCCAGTGGAACTCTTTGGGAACATCTTCCTCTTCCCAGTGAATATCATCTAATTCCTCTAGACCTGGGTGACCAAAATTCCCTTGAAAGTTTTACCTAACTAGGAAATTTCATGGTACCTTGGTTGTGTAGTGGCTACATGTTGGGCTGCTAATGCAAGATCTTCAGTTTGAAGCCACCAGCCATTCTGCAGGAGAAAGATGAGGATTTTTACTCCTGTAAAGAGCCTCAGAACCCCTCAGGGGCAGCTTTATCCTGACCTACAGGATTATTATGAGTGGACACAATGACAGTGAGTTTATAGAATTTCAGTAACACTATCCTTGCCATGCTAGCCTTTAGGGAACAAGGAAGCACTTGGTTCAACATCGTTTTGATTGTTTGGTGGGGGGGGGGCAGTACCTGGAGGTGCAAAAGGTGTTCCTTTCCAACCCAGGATTAGTAAGAAAATAGTTACTCTTTGCCTTCCAATTCCATTCAAACCCAAACACCTCTATACCTCTTGGGCTTGGTGAAGCTTTTCTTCATCTAAATTGGTAAAGAGAAAAATTTCTTGTGGCTACTTTCTCATATTCTGGAATCAATATGGAAACTTCAGACGGTTCACCTTCTAGGACATTTTTTACAGCAAAGCCGGATGGGTTCATTTTCAAAGATCAGGTTCAAAATATCTGTTGATTTTACCATGTGTGCTCTTACAGATTTCAAGGATGTTAGTCACTTGGGATCCTACAGAGCTACTCCCACAACTCTGGCCATTTTATTAAAAAATCATTTTATTGGGAGCTCTTACAGCTTTTATAACACTCCATACATCAATTGTATCAAGCATATTTGTACATATGTTGGCATCATCATTTACAAAACAGTTTCTACTTACACCATTGGCATAAGCTTCTCTTTTATCCTCACCATCCCACCCTCATGAATCCTTGAACAACATGGGGGGCCATGAGAGAGGAGAGGGTGGGAAGGGGGAGTGGGGATCCAACAAACTCAGGGATAAGGGAACAACAAGAGATCTAAAATTGATGGCAAGGAGGGTATATAACGCCTGGCAGAGTTTAATCAAGTGAATGTATCTGAGAGGAATTTCTGAGAGCCGAATGGAGGGTGAACATGATTGTGGGATAGGAGGAAAGTGAAATGAAATAGAGAAAAGAAATAGAGGCAAAAGCTATTTATAGAGGTATAGCTATAGGCATGTATATATGTAAATGTACTAATTTATAATGAAAGTGATACAGGTCAATATATATATATATATGTTAAGTATTAAGGTAGCAGATGGACTTTGGACCTCTATTCAAGGCCTCCCTTAACACAGGAACACTTTCTTCTAATACCTGGCACTCTTTGATACTCACCTTTCCAACACAATCGCTGAAGACAAGGTGTGTAAGCAAATGTGGTGAAGAGAGTGGATGGTGCCCGGCTATCAAAAGATATAGAATCTGAGGTCTTAAAGGCTTGAAGTTAAACAAGTAGTCATCCAGCAGGGAAGCAAATAATCCCTCATGGAAGAAGCACACCAGCCTGTGTGATCATAAGGTGTCGATGGGATCAGGTATAAAAAGATCAAAAACAAGCAATTATACTGATGTGAATGAGGGGGATTGGAGCGGAGACCCAAAGCCCATCTGTGGACAATTGGATATCTCAGCATAGAAGGGTTATTAAGAAGGGATGATGCAACCTAGGTGCAGTATAGCATCGATGAAACACACATCATTCCTCTAGTTCCTAAATGCTTCCTCTACACCCCACCCCCAACTACCATGACCCAGCTGTACCTTACACATCTGATTAGACCGGAGAATAAACAATGGTACAGTTAAGAGTTCTCAACACATGAAATTCAGGACAGATAAAGCCCTCAGGAACAGTACTGGTATTATGAGGGTACAGGGATGATCAGGAAGGGGGAAGTTTTATTTTATTTTATTTCCATTGTGTTGCACCCATCCCCTTTTTAGCCTAGTTGTGTAGTATCTAAGGACTGGATCCAGTTTACCACTGAATGAGTGGAACCAATGAATTTTTAAGAAATCAGAAACAATAATGTGATGGAGGCAGCAAAAGCATCTGTGTAAAACATGTAGTGGTTGAAGGAGGCATTATCTTGGGATTGGGAGATCAATTGTGGGCCTAATGGATTTATTATTCCCCTTCCCTCTTAGAAGTGGTAGAATTGAAAATAAACTGGGCTAAAAGGATGGCATTTTCTTTGTCCTTTTCCTGAATCTGCTCTAAGCACACTCCCTTCTTACATCAGACACTTGATCATTTATTAGAATGGGATGAAGTCAGGCAGGGTCATGTTTTTCAATTCTCTGAGGATTTGACCCCAAGGATAGAAGGTGAATGAGTTAGAAATAAAGCTTTAGGTAAATTTAGATCATCATAGTTCATACAACATCCATTGCTTCATTTGCTAAACGTATTTACAGTGTGTCCAGCCTCATTCTAGATTTTGCAGATAAATCAGTGAAAGGAAAAAATTCCTACTCTCATCAATTTTATATTCCAGTAGAGGAGAGAGACAACAGACAAATAACTTAATATCAGGTAGTGATTGGAGCTATGAAGAAAATTAAAATAAGGTAACATAATTGGGAGTGATGTGGGTTTTTAATAAGATGGCCAAGTAAGGTCGCCATGAAGTGGTGACATTTATGCAAATACCTGAGGGAACAAATCAGGTTGATTTCTCTGGAGAGAG